TGTGTTCATGCTCTTTGTCTTTTCTTTACATGCTTCTTGAAAAAGAGTAATGCCTGACCCTAGACATCGAAATTCGCATACAAATATCTTGATGGATGCTTTTTAATGTAGAATAATAATTTTTAAACTAGAATAAGTTTAATATATTAAAATTATAACGAAGTGTAAGCGAAACAGAGACAGAAATTTATTAGCAAACGTATTCGCAGCGTAAAATTAAATTGTTTGAAACTTGATAAACTTGCATCACGCGACATTGATATCTCTATGTCTAGAATTCATCTGTGAAAATGTTACCTATTTTCTATTCTTATTTTTTGTTCTATCATTAATCGCAAAATCTCGGCCACACCTGACCAACAAAATAATGTCGTTCTAAGATATCGTTTTAAGCACGCGATGGATGATGTGTCTCTATTTGATGAAAAGTACAACATGCTGATGCGTCAAGCTTACGTAAAAATATGCCGATCCATCGAGGGTCACAAAAGGGCCGTCCAGTCAGTATTATTGCATATTGCATAATAGGCAACAAACTCATAGGTATCATGTTTATCAGAGTTTTTATATATTTTTTTGTTACATTAGATATGTGAACAAAATCGACGCCTGTTACGTGCACTACTTCTTTCTAATCTTGGGCCTGATAATTGTAGCGTTCACATCCACTTTTGTTAGGGTAGGTTTCAATTCGCTAACAAAAATTTAATTGCGTAATTTTATCATTGTAATTGAAGGATACAACTTAAATTTAAATTAATAGACACGATTACAATTACGATATGATTACTATTAATTAATGTAAATGCTGGGCTAAACTCTAGCTCAAATGTCTTACTTTTATTTCTAATATTCGTTATTTATCCTAGATAATCAAATTTTTCAATTAGGTGTGTACTATGTGATGTAATATATATATATAGTGTGCGTGTGCGTGTGCGTGCGTGTGTGTACTTAATATATTCTTTTCAAGAATATATATATACTCTTTTACAAACTTGTCATATTATTTAATTTTTCCAGTCTTGAAAAGAATACACTAAGTATTTTCAATAAAAATATCCACACATTTGTTTGACGTGTTCACTGTCATCATACAATTGTTTAATTAATACATGGAAATTAATTTAACAATGATCTTATTTTCTGCAATTAGTTGTCAACGATGGAAGTGGGGACTAGATTCATCACGTTTTGCGGGTTCACTGTTGCGCAATTGGTTCATCTGTTATTCTTGACCGTCATGGGACAATTTGTGAAGAACTCCAATGATAAAGTCTTTCAAACAGTGTAAGACCGGTATACAATATCATGGAACAATTGTAGTTTTAGTACACTCGAAATAAGTTATTGTAATTTAATTGATTTAAAAACATGTTCCAGTTAAGTCGAATTAAATTCATCATGTAATTCGATAGATA